TCACAGGTTTTGCAGTTTCGGGGAGAGAAATGATTTTCTCTTATTACACTCTCGTCGCGATGTCAATCATTTGACCCTCGTCGCCGCCAGTAGCTCACCTAATCGCCTAATCGTATAATCCGCTCCAACAAATCAATTCGGGTCTCCCAACCAAAAGCACCACTTCACGCTCTATAGCTTTTGCCTAGCAACTATACCGATTACCAAATGCGGAATCTTGTGTGAATTTGTTTGAATCAATCATAAAATATATTTTGATTCGAGTCACGATATTAAAATGCCAAATTCATTCGATAATGGTTTTATGCGTATCTGTGAAATGTTAATTTTAAAATATTCACAAACGTATAATTATTTGCACAAGATGTAAAAAAGATTGGATTAACATAAGAAACAGTTATTAATATTTAATTGCTAATTACTGTTTTGTTCATGAACGATATATTAAAAATAAAATGCAATAGATATAATATGAAACAAACATGGCATTTTACATTATTTTATATTCGATTAATATTAGAATACAAATTTATTGTGCAGGATATTATTTTCCCCACAAAATCTGTATTTTACTTTTATAAAAATATATGTAATCAATAGAAGACGCGATTGCTACGAAGCGTTTCTTACATCAGATTTTCGAGAAATTATTAACTAAAAGTTTAGTTAGCACATTGTATATTTATTACAAAGTTCATGATTTCTTTCATAATACTTAGTTTTCTCATTTACATTTGATAAATGTTTTAATCAATGTGTCGTAAAATATGACAATCTAATCTCCATCGCATACCTAATTATGCACTTAAAGATGTATAATAACATCTTAAAATATTGGCAAGTTTTTCATACATGATTTGATTATTTATTTTATATATTTACAAAACTCTTTGCATAAACCAACGTTGTGTATTCGATGTTTTAATACAAAATAAAAGACACACGCGTTGTTTTTAAATTTCACTGTTTTTTCAGTTAATATTGTACAGCTAATTGTAAGATATCCTTAATATCGCGCAATCGTAGCCGCATTCGATTGTGAATCGCCGGTCTGTTGTCGCAACATCGGATACGCAAACGTATGTATATCGATCTACTGCCTCCAACAGAGTCATGCGCGTTAACGGGCTAGGTACAACCATGGCTCGTCGTACCGTAAACTTGTCAGCATTGTTTCAAGGCGGCGCGTACACACGGCCAGGCTATCAATCGGCCTTTTCGCGCGGGACACTCACCTCGTAAATTTTCACCCTTTGACACGCGCCCGATGCTGAGCCCCGTGAGCCCGGAGCGGGGATCGGGGACCCAGCTATGGCGGTGCGCGTCGGCGCGACAGTGGCAACCCCGTTGGCGCAGAAGCTTCAACCCCTCGGGACCTGCGGGACGTTAATGAAATAACACGGGAATTAGTCTCGGACATTACCGACAAACTATGTCCATTACTGCACCCCGCGATGGTGTAGCGTTCCACGAAGGCTGAACTTTGAGGACCGCTACGCCAGCGCGAGCTGAGAAAAGGATTTAAAAAAGAATCAGTGGAAATTGTGACTTCTCTCGTAGATCGTATGCGCCAAATTACGTTTGCGTACAATTTTTCACTTAAGATTATAATTATACTTTATTAAAATGTCCGCGCGTCGTATTGTTTAATTTCAAATACGGCACTCCGGATGAGAAAAATGAAGCACATCATACACACTGTCCGAGAATCAATTGAACTCTGATCAGTCTTTGATTCGATCGAGCTTTAAATTTTTTGATCAATAATCGCCATATGTAAATCTCTAGACACGATGCGTGTCAATTTGAAAATATCTAATTGGAAGTGTATCAATGATCGAAAATATCGTGTGTAATACGTTTCTAAAATTTTTTTTTTCGAAAACGCTTCTACTCGCAACACGGATAGCGCGAGTAAATCAAATAGAAAAATGCTAATCGACGTTGATGCAGCCCCCGGCGTTTCCGAGACTTCATCCGTTGCTCGGCATACGCGTAGCGCGCGACACTCATACGCGGCATTCATACGACCACTACGACGCGCGGTACCCTTGTTTTCTGCGAATATCGCGTACACATACATATACGCGCATGCATCATCGCTATGAGCTTTCAAGCGAGCGCGCGTAAGTCGCTCAAATTGGTACGGATTTCCAGCCCAACACCTCGATTGTCCTCCGCTAAAGAGTGCTTTGCGGGCATACGTGAATTCATGCCTCGAATACACGAAGTCGTTGTTGTTCCTTCCCTCTCCCTCTACTACACCCTCTAACTTCCTTCAGCAGCTCTTGCCACAACACACTTCCTCTGCGTTTCTTTTCTACGATTCCCTCTCTGTCTTTCTCCTTCTCTCTCCTTTTCTCTCTCTCTCTCTCTCTCTCTCTCTCTCTCTCTTTCTCTCTCTCTCTTTTACATTGTTTTACTGTATAATTGTCTTTTTCTCCCCTGCATTCAAGATCCCTCCCTTGTTGATCCCTACTTTGCTCACACATGTACCACCCTTTCTCTCATCCGTTCATCCCTTCACTCACGAAGCTCGCACTCTCTGTTTCCCTTTTTTTTTCTCTCTCTTTCTTTCTCACGTACCCTGTCGTACGTCGCGTTTTCTGCGCATATCTGCTTTCCGCGGTTGCTCTATTTTTTCCTTTTCTTAGCTATCTTGTCACCGTTTCTTTTTTTTTTTTTTCATTATTTTTATTAAGTAATTTCTTAGCAATCGATTATCTTCTCGAACGATTAAGAGTTCTGAGGCTTCCAAGAACGTTCTGCATATTTTGCAGCAAGTATGAAACCGCGATTCGACTCTTTCAAGGGAAATCGCATGTCAGGCTATCGAAAAGACACGTTCGAGTAACGTGTTGAATGGACCGGCGTGTTTCACAGCCGTCCGCGTGCACGCCTGCGAGAGATCGTAAAAGAGACCCGTGGAGGACGCCTTTTCAAGGAGTAACCGCAAATCCTAGTATAATACTAATAGGGCCATAATAGGGTCAATAGGGCTTAGCCGCGCGACGACAATAAGATCTTGTCAAAATACGTCGGGTAACACGAGCCTAGAAAGCGGATTTTTCTCAATGGGGGTCTGTCTGTCACCCTCTTCCCTCTCCCGCGTCAATTGGGTATGAGGCGATGCACATTATTGGGGTTTTCAAAAAAATCTGAAACCTTCCACCCGGGTACGTGATTGGGGTTTAAGTTTCACCGCGGCAGCCGTCGACCGCGCGAAAAAAGGAAGGACAAATAGGAAAAACCGAAGAATGACGATATCAGCCTGACATATACTGTTCGGATTTCAAGTGCATGTACCTATTTACGTGCGATTTACGCTGAATACGGGCTCAATTTTCGGCAACGTTTTCTTTTAGGGTAGTTTTTAGGCACTCAGTTTTACCGTGTGTACGATGATGATCCTTCAAACAATTTATTCGACGATATTACTAAATGAAACAATGATGAATAATAATATTGTACTTTTTATTCTAATATCGGCACGGATACTCTTCAATATATATTTCGAATTGATTAGAAATCACAAAATTAAATGAACAAATACTCATATTGAATCATTAAGTTTAGATGGTATAATTGTTGGAAGTAAATCAATTAGAAGCCATTAAATATTTGAAAAATACACAACCTACAAATGCGTTTTTAATATTATAATATGAAACATTTTGATTGAAATCAATTTTTCTTTCTAAGGAATGAACCACTTTTCGCAGAACGATCAGTTTGGCTTGTTAAAGCTCCCGCCGACAGGTCGTACTTTTCTAGATTAATTTATTAAACAAACGCGCAAACCCGGGTCAAGCTTGGCATCCCCATTTTAAGATGCCGGTTCGTTAAAGTCATTTGAGGGTGCTGCTTCGCCATCGTAATCGCTTCCCTCCGTGAAAACGCGAAGTCTATCTCGCAACCACGAGCTCCCTTCGACTTTCTTGGAAGGCAGGCAAATCTTTTCCAGCCCCTGTTTTTCACCACCCCAACATCTTCGCCGAGCACGGTGGGATGACTTTATTAGAAAATGGCTGCGTTGTGAAACGTCTTAATACATGGTATTTATTTCTCTTTTAACAGCGTCGTCTTTGCGTTATTAAACGCATATTTCTTCTTTTATAGCGCTCTAATTATTATGCGTGAATATTCAAACACGATTTGATACAAATTCTATCTAATTGGAAATGTAAGACAATTAATAATGCTAATGTTATGATTATTTACGCCAAATTATTTTTATTAATAAAAAGTTATTAAAAACACACATACACACAGTACAAACAAAGCGTGTTTGAAATCAAGCGTGAATAACGCAATGGAAACCGTTTTGAGTTAATAAAGATTTTGGGTGATTGTCGACATGAATTGCGTATTGATCAGTTTAACATCGATACAGGGGAGAAAGATACAAAAAGGAATTTCTTTGATAATTTATTCTAATGAGACAAACCTAGGTTATGAGCCGCCTTTCCTTTGAGACAGAGGCAAGTCTTTTTTATGAGATTTTAATTAATTTAATTACGGTTAATTTTCATGCGGAGTAATTAAGAGTAGCGTATTCGAGCGCGACCATAACGTAACTTTCTGTGGAAAGATAAAGAGCATTGAGATCTGAAATACCTTAGTAGGCACTAATGAAATAATCGCAGAGTTAATTTCGCACGCTCGTTAATCAGAGTGCGCGTTAACACGCGGTTGTAGGCGCGTGAAAGGAATATAAAGTTAAAAAATTGTCAATTGATCTTACTTTATTTTTTTAGTAAATATGAATGACGATCTATTTGTGTAACTGCAAGCAGATTATTTGATTTAATAGAACAAAATAAATAATTTCAACTTAAGATTTGACATTGTGATGTATTAATATTAATTACAAACATATATACGCTTATATGCTTACTAATAATGTAGTAACACTTTTAATGTTTTAAAATTTATTGTTTAAAATTTGTGATAATTTTTTATTGCTGATGTTTGATTAAAATATTCTTTCTCTGTTTTAGGATTTTCGCAATCAAAAGGATCATTTTCGAACACGAGTCCAGGTAAGATAAAAGTATAAGACTTCTAATATATTAATAATGTTGAAATAATGCAAAGCATGATTTTAGTTATTCAATAACAAAATGTAGAAGTTTTTTATTGAAGAAAACTCCATAAAATATACGAGTAAAAATAAGCGAATAACTGATTTTATCTGGAGAACATAAACATTTTTTGAAAAATCATATCTTATTCAAAATGTAATAAGATAACAAGACATGACGATATAACATTTTTATACGCAATAACGAAATGTGGTGTGCACGGAAATTCACCATTCAGTCTTTTCTAGAGATGGCAAATAACTGCCAAAATCATAAATGTATTCGCGTCGTCGCATCGAATTTATGACGCTTTCCGGATGCGTGAGCGCTGTCAGAAATTGATTGCACTTGTGTTCTTTGTATGGTACTTGCTCCTTTGCTTGTCATAAAATACTGTCAAGTTACATATTTTATTTACGAGTGTTAAATTATGCAAACGGTAAATTTGTGTTAGTTATGTCGACAGTAGATGATCACGCTAGATAATAAATATATAGAGCTTTCAAGACCGTTTCATTTATAATATTTATTCATAATCGTTAATAATTCCTTATCTTTGATTTAAAGCATAATTAATTGCAGATTCCTATTCGTAGATCGTTATTTAGCTATTTGAATTAATATTTCACGAATTTTTGTTCAGTCAACAAATAATCGTTGTTTATTTTTGAAAATTTATAATTGATTAAACTTTAATTATTAGCTTAAAAATAGTTATCGATTTAGCCATTATAAAACGTTACAAAGAATATCAATTCTGTCGGTAAATTGATATGAATACAAAGAGGACGAAATACAATCACAGAATGGTAATAATGGATGATACTGGCTATTATCACTCTCACAATTCTTCGATAATGAGTGCTACAGATGCCGTGACTATTATCGCGCCATACGATGACATCATGTGCACATGTGGAGGACGGAAAAAAAAACCTGCTTACGTATTCATGTGCACGCGATGATTCCGATTTTTCCAAGCCATTAAGCGCGGCCCGTTTGGCCCGCAAAACGATGTCGCTTGAAACGTGAGACGACAAGTTGAAAATAATTACCGAGAATGGGCTTCGTATGTAAGGGGGATGAGTTTTCACATTACTTGCTATGAATATCACATTGTATAATCAATACATTATTATCGAAATTAAAAGGAATGAAAAAATTTTAACAGTATCATCAAATAATATTTTTCTAACGAGCAATAGAATAACGATTAAGTAATTATGCGTAAAATTTGTAACAAAATTGGTGCTAAATAGAATATTTTTCAGTTTCGATGAAAGATAGGTAGACAACATCGTTTGTACGTTGGGTGCAGGCCTAACAAAGTGATGATATCCCAAATCACTCCCGAAAAGACGATTTAAGACTTGACAGCGGGCGTGGAAACATACTCGAATTTCGAATAAAGAAAGTCTCCTGTTACCGATTAGCGTTTCAATGTGACTAGCATCACCGATTTCTCAAAATATTTTGATGTAGAACACGATATCTTTATACGTAATTCGTATAGTGAATGTGTTCTTGAATTTTCACGGAAGCTAATATCGTACAAACAACTGCTTATCAAATTGTTTAGCTGAAAGAATAAAAATGTTTACTAGTAATTAAAAACCTCTCGCCTATCAAGTTTACGTAAAGATTGTTCGGAATTTTTAGAATGTTAAATTCAAATTCGCAGTTGAAAGTTTTGGCGAAAATATATCACAATCTTCCAGCTTGACTCCATAGCGTCTCAATTTTCTGTCAGATGTTCTCTCGCATTTAAAACACGAAATGTTGCTTGAGTTGTGTACACATACATAATCGAATGTTACGCCGGATCGTAAGCCGCTGGAAATCTGCAAGCGCTTTCCGCGGAAAACCGGCGCTGGTGTCGGACGGTGTCGGGCTCTTTTCACATCGTGTTTCCGCACATCTTCAATTTTCCAGAAGTCTTTTCCGAACGCAGTACCGCTGCTACTGCCGGAGGCGGCAACGCGAGTCTCCTTTTACACGTAGGATCCTCCGCGGTATTTTCCTTTGCCGACAAATTGGACTATTACGCTCGCAACTCCGCATCTGAGAAGCGCGTTCTAGCGAGAACCGCGTATTTTCTCGCTTGTCCGCTGTTTGGGAGATCCTTCACACTGTATTTCGTTCTCGCGCCTTTTCTCTTTCTCTGTCTCTCACGTAGCTCCGTCGCATCTCAAAGTGCTGCGCAGTTGTAAAAACAACCAATTCTGACGAGAGAAGCTCCTCGTTACCGGGTGTCTGCCGTTGCCGGAGGCATTTTCCGTAATTCTGACGGAAGATACTTCGAACCCGCAAAAGAAGACGCTGCGCGCCCGTAAAGACTCGCGAAAATTGCTTCATCTGATAAATATTGGTCTTTGAAATTATCCGTAGCCAATGACGCAGTTGCAATTGTCTCCAGATATTGCCGTAAGTTGCGATATTTTTGCAAGAAGTAATATTAAAATATTAACGTATTAATAATCATTGTTTCAATGTTATTTGTATGTGGGTCATACGATATAAATGTTACATTTTTCTTGAAATATTTCAAATTTCATATTTATTTGTGCTTTAAGCGGCTTAGTACACAATTAAGCAGCTTGAGAAACACTAATTTAAGAAGTAAATTTGTATTCGCAAAAATTCTTTTTTATTCTTTTCATTAACTAGAAAAAATTAAGGAAAAAATACTAATTATAAATATTCTTTTCAGTTAAACTTGAATGTTGAACAGTCGAAAGTGTGAGTTTGTAATATTGTAATTTTCTTTATAATCGAAATCTATTTATTACAAATCAATACAAGTGTGAGATATAAAAAATTCATAATATTACACAGTCAATACATCCTTAAACAATGTAATTAAATTGATAAATTTTACATTTAATATTGACTAGCGACTATTCCACTAGCGACCGAATTATGCGTGACATATAGAGAAGCATGCATATTTTGTTCGATTTGCATCAAACGGTAGTAGCATATTTCCAATTATGACGAAATCAACAAGAATGGCTCTCTAATTATTCGTAACGCCATCGCGACAATCAATAACTTCTACCGTAACTCTGCATTAAATTCCCACTCCATGAATTCCATTTAAATGAAATAACACTAAAATATTATATATATTAATCTGGCAGAATACAATCATAATTTTGCTAATTATTTTGTCAAATATTGTTCCACCGCATCGCGAGGAGGTCTTCACCTATCGGATAAGCCAACGCGTGTCCTGTCGAAAGGAGGACGCGCGTTTGTGGAGCGTTCGGTGCAGCGCCAGAAGTATTGCCGTACTCCAATCCAATCATCTCGTTTCCTCCCGTATCGATTTCACCGTCCGCTAGAAATTTCCTTCGTGAAAAGAAACGCACAAGACAGCTTGGGGTTGGGGAGGACGAGCGACGGGACAAGGAATTGCAGGCGGTAACTCGCGAGGCGAATGACGAGAAAGAGTGAGAGAGAAAGAAAGCGAGAAGGAGAACAAGAGAAAGAGAGAAAGAGAGAGAGAAAGAGAGAGACAGAGAAAGGGGTGAGAAAAGGAAAAAAAAGAAAGGGAGAGGGTAGAGAAGAGAAAGAGGGAGAGAGAGAGAGAGAGATAGAGGAGAGGAGAAGAGAGGAGAGCGAGTGAGAGGGGCGGGGGATAAAACTCCGGTTTCTATAAACGATTTTGAAATAGTGTGCGTCTCAGCTCACGACTAGAAGCCTCGAAACACGGGGACGGTGGGACAAAAAGGAGGCGGAAGCGCGAGACAGCTAGCGAAGGCAGGAAGGGACGGCGGAAATCGAAGCCGGGAGTCGGGCGTAGGGTATGCGGTGAAGCGGGAAACAGGAGAACCGCTCGTATTTTTCTTCTGAAAAATTAAGTGCGTTCAGCCGTGAAGGAGCTCGCGCCTGATTACTGGCGCCCGCTCAAGTACGGGATCCTTGCCAACATTTTCGTCGTCGTAAACGGTTTCCGTTTCCAAAGGCCTACCCCCCGTGAAAGCCCCGCGCATACCCGCGCGAATCGCGCGCGGACCGGGCGACGCGAGGCCGACTCAATTATCGCCCACCCGAGAAATAAGCCTTCTTCTCTATTTCTCAAAGCGCATACGCGGGGTGGTCCGTTAGAGAACCGTGCGGCAATTTTTCTGGACTTCAGAAATGAAATGTGAGAATAGAATTTTTTTAATTCTTCCCACGTGCACACAACGCCTCCTAAATATATTGTTCGACTTGTTTCACTACGTACATTTGATTAAGAATAAAAGATCAAAAGTGAAGAGTGAGAAGTGGAATGAAGAAATGTGCGAAGGGAAAATACGCAGGGGCGAGTCTTCCTTTACTGAAATATTTTGACATCCGCAAACGACGGCGGTGGTTGCACGTGGCGTGTCGGGTAAATTTTTCACGTGAGGGGTTTTGGGTTACACCGTATGGTTGGCGCTTTAAAGCGATACACGATTCGTATAAATATTGCTCGCCTGAAAATGCACCGTCAAGAGCACCTCCGAGCCATTCTCGACTCCTCGAGGCGGAATTACGAAGAAAGGTAGATGGACGAGGCGGGAAGAGAGGGGGACCCCTCTTCTCACTCCTGCCTGTCCTCTATACGGATACAGTGACTACATTGTGAGTTTAGAGTTCATTGTGCGTCCGGTACCATGGGCATTGTCGCGCTTTTTCGAGGACCGGAGATTCACACCTTTTCACAGGCGCGATTTTCCATGATGCGCGCTCCATTGAGCGCAAGAAGGTGAGCTGGAGAACGAGACGAGAGATCAGAGGGCGGACGAAAACGCGATGTGAATGTTAGATATGCCATTTCTCAGCGCGAGTTTTATGTTTCGCAACAAGTTTTGGATCATTTTACTTTATGGACACACTGATAATAGCAGTAAAATGAGGTAAATTTCTCGACAGAAGAAATCGATTTTAAATTGACGAAAAAAAAAAAATCTGTCATTAAAACAATATTC